ATATGTCTGAAGTACTGCTGTTGGGAAGTTGAGTTGGGACACTTCATGGTGACATAGTATTTGTTTTTGAATCCCTCTACATTTAATTTCATCTTAGGCTTCTTTAACAAAATAATAAAATAAAACTGCTTGCAAAGAAGTAAATTATACTGTCTGTCTAAGCACAGTAATTTCCTAGGATTGCTTTGTATGCTTCTCACGTTCAGTTACTGGAGATGCTGCAGATTTTCTTAAACGCTGATATGGTTTCAGTATGGCTATTCGTATGTGTGCCTTTGCAGAAGTTTATAGGTTATCTTTGCAGGATTGGAATCTAAAGGAATTGGCAAAGCAAACATAGAACAAAGTCATATGTCATTCTGGAATGCAGATATACATTGATAACAACAGAGCTTTTGTGAATTAAATTAATTAATTTAAATTAATGTGTTTGTAAGGCCTAATTTGAAAGATCATCTTGAATTTCTTGGAGACAAGTTTTATGCCCCATTTATAAAGCATCAATCAGTAGATTTTATTTTTTATTTTTTTTAAAAAAAGACAATGAGATAGACATTTAAAAGTTTTGAGAGTAATTTTAATGGAATACATCTACCCTGTAGTTAGAAAACTGGCTGAGGAGCCTGGGATACAGTGCAATCCTAGTTCTTGGGAAAGAATAACATAGGGAGGAAGGAATGTACTTGAATTTTGACCAAATATATGAAGTATTTAGGAAGTATAGGCCTTACTCTAAAGAGAGACAAACGTTAATCGGGAGGTATCTTAATGGAAAAAGCAGGCAAACAGTGCAGCATCATTGCACAAGATATTAAGACCTTAAAACATTTCAAAAGAAGCATTGAAAAGGAAATTAGATAACTAACTTGGTGTACATAATAGATACTAGATTACAGCAGCAACTCTAGCTTGCTCCAACATGTCACTTTTACTCTAAAATACTCTTTGTGTAATATGGTGATGTTTTCTGAAATGCCCTGGAGTCATTTTTCAAATATATCCTTTTTCATATATTTTACAGGATATATATGCTTTCAGGATTATGAGAGCTGCATATAAAGCCCTACAAGATATTGAAAGTATGCTAGCAGAGATATAAAACTACATTCTATTCTACTCCCTGCTGCATTGCATAAAATATAGGGGCTACTATTTCCTGGCATTGTATATTCTTTAATGCATTTGGAACAGTGTCTTTGGAGGCTGTTTAGTAAATTAGTGTCAATGATCAAGAAAAACTTTCCAAGCAGGAGATTGGAGAGAAGTTGATCAGTCAAGAAAATATGGAATATTTTCATTTGGGATATATGTTGACCCAAGAATAGAAACTGCTGTATCTGCTGTGAGCCTACAGACAATCACTGTTACGGTCACCTGAAGGGTTCTGCATCTATACAAGCAGATGCGGCTACTGGATCACTACAAGATCATTTTTAATCCATTTCAGATCAAAGTACTAAGATTTTCTGAACTAATCTTGCTTCCTGAGGACAGAGAACTTAGGGGTAGAGTCAGGGGCCCAACTGTGTTCAGGTACCTCACTACACCTGCAAATGACCAATTTTCCTGCCCTGGCTGTTGCCATAATTCTGCAGATTCAGCTAAGAATTTTCTCTAGTTTGCTTTACCTGTTGGAGGAGTTGTCTTCTCTAAAAAAGAAATACAGTTTTCTCTCAGCAGTCTTGTCTCCTCATGGGCGCCTTTCTAAATTTCATATTCGGGACTTGATAAGAAGAAAGAATGCTCTTCAGGCATTCTTACATACTGTGATGAAACTCTTTAGAGGCAGAAATGAGAGTTAAGATACATTATATTGCATGAAATTGTAATTTCTAGTGCACTGTGAGACTCTTCAATTGAATTATCCTCATAATCCAAATATTCTTAAATATTTGGATTTTTTTGAACCTCTATCTTTGCACTGGATTCTTAATTCTGATTTATATTTCCCTACTCCAACAGAAATATGGTTGAGGGCCACCAGAGGGAGATTAGTACAGAGTGAATATTGATAGTTTCGTATTGATATTTCTATGATCATATTGGTGCTCTTTTCTAGAAAATATAGCAATCTTATCTATGTTTATTTCATTGTATTCAGATGACAGTGATATTTTGTGCTTTTCATAGAAAGATAATTCCTCCCCTTACTGGATAATTGCTAATGTCTGTCTTTGACTAGCCACTATGTACAATTTTGAGACTTTTACTGTAGTGCTAGTGCAAAAGTAGTCTTCTGAATACTTGCTTTAGATGCAGCTCCCCAAGAACACTCTCTTTCCTTCTCTTTCACCTGTCATCTTGTTACAGTAGAATCATTTTAATGCTTTCACATCCAGAAAAATGAGAAAATAAATGGATTGCAAGTCAGATTCTCACCTGAATAATAATTTTTTGATAATGTGCAAAATGTTTAGTAGTGTCAGCGTATTTTTGGAACAGTCTAAAAGGGAATTCTCATTTAGAGTAAATTCTTGCCTGAAAAAACTATTGCTAACGCCAAGAGATGATTTGATGCAGGATGAAATCTCTCTATGTGAACATACTAGCAGCCATACATGCATTTATTACTGTAAAAAAAAAAAATGCTATTAGATGCATCTGCATCTTTCAGAGATTCTCAAGATTCTTTTCTTCATGTAATATTTCCTTCTCTAGGAAATGATTAAAAGTAGAAATATTTGAAATATCTTTTTATTTCATCTCTGTACCATCAATAGTAACTTTCCTTTTTGAATTAGAATTGAAACAAAAGTTGCTCCCAAATGGAGCATTTTAGACCCTGCTTGGAGTAGTCAGATATAATTTTTTGTGCTTGTCCTCTTTTTAAAAATGGATCATGGAGTGTTTTCCCCATTGGTGTCTGGTAAACAATATTTGTAAGCATGTATAGAATGGTGCGGGAGAAAAGGAGGAAAAAAAAAAATAGCCAGTTCATATACTGCTGCTATCACCCATCAGTTTTTGAAATGATAGAAATTATTTTATCCTGCAAAAATGACAGTACACATACTAAAGGAATGTCCTAAACTAGAGCACGCTATCTTCTATTTCCAAAAATTGTTTAGCTGTGAGTTAATTGGTTCAGTAGTAGAATTATTTCATTTAGGAATTGTATCTGAAGATACTTATAATGTTAGCCCAGAATAAGATATCGGAGCTTCTTGCATCCAGGATTTGCGTGCAGCTTCTCTTTCACACCGTGCAGTTTTACAACAAATAATACCTTGCCTTCCAGGATCAATGTATGGAGGAGGGGGGGGAAAAAAAAAAAAAAAACTGTCAAAGCTGCCAGTTTTCACCAGTTTTCATATACAAAGCAAGGCAAGGCTTTCATGCAAAGCTATAAGTCAGCCCAGATTCACTCAACACTGGGCCCAGGTTCACTCAAAAGGGCTGTGAGTCCTCGCAGACCTTTTGAAGAATCTGGGCCGAGTTTCAAACGGGTAATGAAACCCGTAATCAGGCGGGCTGCATGTGCTCTTGAGTTGCCTTGAGAGCTCTTACCCAGCTCTCCCTCACATGTCCTGGGGTTTGCTGAAATTTTATTTGTTTGGTTTTTGTTTTTTGTTTTAAGCAAAACAGTGATGGAGTCTAAGTCTTCAAATAATCATTAATAGATACAGTATTGGCTGTTGTGGTAACCCAGGCCCTGCTCACCTGACTCGGAGGGTTATATGCAAGCATTTTGCAGGGTCAGATCTGTGGTTCTGATCCTTATTCTGACTGTGAGGAAAAAAATAGAAAACTCCCATTTGTGAATCTTTGCTACAGGTTTCCTGCGCCTATTTTAGTTTTAGGGTATGTTTGTAAAGTGCTTTCGATTAAAACATTATAACAGAAAAATAGTGATTATTTTTGTTCCCTAATAATTATGTTCTCACTTGTGCCAAATTTGAATCCAGGGTTTCTTATTTCAAAGGAGGTACATCTGCAATATGGAGAAATAATTACTGCTGTAGAGCTGTGTGGGAAAGTAGAAAGATGAAAACATAGTGTAGAAGTTTATGCCTGTTTTTTCAGTTTTTCATATAAATTCTGTGGAACTGACAATTGTCTTCAGGAAAATTCAGAGCCGCTTACCCTGAAGCTCACTGACTCCCTGGAAATGAATCCTAAGCTTTTCCTTGAAAGTTAACAGGGTGTTACTCTAACGGAACAAAGAGAGGAATCAAGTTCCAAGCTAAAAAGTTTTTGACTAAAAAAAGTCCGATTTATGATCTGCATAAGGTATGCCACGTGAACGTATACAGTGTATATACAAATCTTATCTAAGCACACGTGCATAGCCAGTTTGCACTACCACTTTGCACGTTGATAACATCTGAGTTTGTGCTTTCTTGTAGATTTTGTATATCAAAATTCCCATATGAATTAAATGAAATGTGTACAAAACAAAATGTAAGAAAATATATGAAAATAGGTCATTTTAATGAATATGCAACAATAAACAGTTGAGTATTTTGAATTTTCTTAGTGCAATGGTAACTTTCTTTGACCATATAAAAACATCAATCTATATGCACAGTGGTTCTAATACTTGAGTATTTAATACAACCTTTCTTGTTTAGGAATGCCCATTCCTATACTAGATTATTCTGGGGAAGAAAGAATCTGGGCTGAGTTTTGTTTTTAACTTTCAACTTTAACTTCAAGGTGGGAGGCTGAACCTTTCTGCTTTTCACTCAGATTTTTTTTCCTTCTCTTGGTAGATAAATTCCTATATTAAGTCTTCAGACTTATTTTCATGCATTGGTTGCTGTTGTTGATATTACTGTTTTTTTTTTTTAATTTTATTTTTCTTAAAATTTGCTTTGAGATATTTTCATGGGGATGTAATTCAGATAGTTTTCTCAGATTTGATGTAAATGAATACGTCTTCAGGTGTTTTTAATGTAATAATAGATATAAGATGTATGGCGTATTTACAGTGAATATTATCACAAAACAGGATCTATATCTTCCATGTTATAGCAAATTATTTTTCTGTATTTTTACAGCTAAAGTAGACCAAGAAAATGAGGAGAAGTCATTGACAGAAGCACATAAAAGGTAAGAAAAAATAATGGAATAAAATCTTTCCTTCCTTTTTTTGAAAAATGTTTTTTTAGAAGTTGCTATTTTCGAAGCAGAGTCATTTTTTTGAATAGTGAAAAGGCTACATTAAGAAAACCAAGTGAAATCTTTCTTGTCAACTTTATTTTGATCATTAGAAAAGAAAAACTGAAGGAATATAAGCAAGCAGTCTGCCTTTAGAAAAACCTTGTATGCAGCTCTACTCTATCTGAAAATGCATATTCCTTATGTAAAAATGAATCGCGAGTATGACAGTTGGATTGAGAGAAAACTGTTCATTCCTATTCATTTGACAGATGCACAGCACTCACCAGACAGTATTATTCACTGAGTACCACTTCCTGCGCTTATGAAATATCTGCTGTAAAACAAGGAATGGAAATCTGCTTCTAAAATAGCAATGATATGTATAATCAAATGTGACTGCATTTGTAGACATGTTAATAGATCTTCAAATAATTTTTGTGGGGAAGAAGAAAACAAAATAGTTTATTAAATCTCATTACAGATGTGATCACTTGAGAGCATTTCCAAAACTGGGAATGTCACTCTGTTGCACAACTTGTGGTTTCTTCTGATTTTTTTCAACGTTCTCCAGGAGTAGTGTTTAAGTGGGACAGATTTTTATCTATCCCAGCAAAAGACCAAAATAGGACACACACCATTTATAGTCCAGATTTAGTGAAACTGGCAGTCTGCATTTGTTTTCCTTTCACTAAAAATAACTTCTTGTTATAACAACTGCCACTGAATATATGCTAATGACTACAGCTCTCAGTAGGATGCAAGTAAAGCGTGCTGCTAGAAAAGGTGCTAGTTTTGCATTGCTGGGCTGTGTTAGCCAGTGTAAGGCTCTGATGTTAGTCACCTGCTCTCCTGTCCCAGCACAGGTGATTCTCCCCACCCAGCTTCCTTTTATTCTCTTGTTCCATGCACCAAAGGCAGCAGCAACAGAGCAAAAGGGAAAGTCTGTTGGAGGAAACTCTCGCCTTTCTTACAAGGAGATGGCATTACCGTGTGTAGTATGTCCGTGATGTGGGGTCCTCACATTGAAGTGGAACAGAGGGAATATTGCTTTGGCTTAGTATCATACCTCTTACTCCAGTA